CAGGCAGAACAGTTTTAATTAAGTGAAAACAAAGGAAGAAGTGAGTGTGTATGTAGGAATTAAAGTAGTACAGGTATTCTTCCTCCTTCCTAGGGCGCTGTCCACGATGATTGGAGCAGAGAGGACGGACGGACTGAAGGACCAATAACGGGAGAGTTAAGTCTAAACCACGGCTCCTCCCCAACTGTTTTGGACCAATTAGATAGTAGTACCTTTTCATACAAATATTGTATACCACTAAGTTGAGGTCAGTCTTTTCTGCTTATCCTAAACAGTGAAGATCCATGTGCACATGCTAATTTTGATACGTTAATGCATAATAAATTTCACATTGTGAAATATATATCCTCTTATTAGTCTTCTCTTTTCAATATAAAACAAACACACCTCAACACTATTCAACCTAATGGTGCTGACGCTGCAGTGGCTCAGCGCTACAATGGGCTGAACTGTAGGCGTGCTCTGATCTACTTTTGTCTTCCTGTGTGGTCGCATGTCACATCCTGCCTCCTCTGATTATCTTCTCAGAAACACACACACACTCATTGTCAGGTTGTGACACCAAACCAAATCCTTGCACTTTAACAAATTGCCGGCCATGGTTTGGGTTTTGCTCTGCTGCACATGCTGTTGTCCTAAATATTTTTGCAACCTTGTTTAATGTAAAGTCAAAGCTCCCTGAGAGCGTCACTGCTGTCAAGACCAAGACGCAGCTCAGAAACACAGTGAGGTTCAGTTGTGTTGTTGCTGTGGTGACGTCTCTTGTCTCTGTCCTGCAGCAACAAGTCGTCCTGCAGTAAGATTGCCATGCGTCTGAAGGTGCTGCAGCGTGATGAGGTGGTCCGTGGTGCCGGCTGCCCACCTCTGGCTGACATGCCAGCCAGTCATGTGGTGATCCCGCTGCAGGAGGGGAAGACCCTGGACTGTCCTGACCTACAGGATGCCTCCAAGATGGCCGACGGCGAGCCGACTGTCACCTGGTACCATGTGATAAGAAACAACTTGGTAATACAACAGTCTGCCCATCCATCCATGTATCTAACAGCACCAGCACTGATGCATTGTGATTCCTAGCAGGTTGTGATACTCTGCATCACAGTGTGTACTGATACTGCATCAAGTGCAGTGACAGATGGTTCTACTGGTTTCACTGTGAGTCGTCCTGTGTATCTCAGATGTGTGACCAGCCTCCGTTCTGGAACGTGAATCGGGAGCAAACAGGAGCCAGTCTGCAGTTTCACATCATGGAGGATTCCTTTAAGGGCCTGTATTTGTGCACAGTGCACTACCTGAGGAGAGGCCGAACACTCAACTTCACCAGGAGCATCAACGTCACTGCAGTCTGTGAGACAGCTACGCTACCCCTGCTACTGCTGCTGCTCTACACACAGTACTGAAGAATACTGTGCACGCTCACGCTGCTCTGTTTCCTTCTCTCAGATCCGTCCTCACTGCCCAAAGGACCCAGCATCCTGCGCCCGAACAAGAACCAGGTCTTCCCTGCCAAACAGAGTAGGTGCCCTATTAAAGTGCTCTAGTAGGTGATTTTTACTGTTAACCAGAACAAAACTAATGAAACATCATGAGTCAGGTGGCCTCCACATCTCTGAAGAACCAATAAGATAAAAGCAACGACAAGTCACACACGTTAAAAGTGACTGTGGTTCAGACAACAGCAGCACTTTGGTTCAGGTTTGGTAAACATGGTGGTTCTGGTTCCATGTACAGGTGTTTCTGTATGAAACTAGCGCACCGTGGTTCTCTGAGCTGAACCCAGAGCTAAGTCCGAACAGAACCGGAAACTGGTTCATAAAGCTGGCATCACTGCAGGGGGAGGCTGGACTATGATTTTGGTGGAAAACCAACATTTTACTGAGACGCTCAGTATCGACATATTTACAACCTGCCTGACATGTTAATTAACAGCATTTTCTCTTTATTTAAAGAGAAAATCTGGTCCAGTTTCCTTCAAAACAGTTTTGCTGTTGTAGTCTCGAACTATTTGCGGTGACATTTCACACTATTTGCTGAAGATTTACCTCACTACCTCGCCTCCGTTCTGTTCTGGAAACAAATTCCTTGTGTGTAAGGAATAACCAAATAACGGGATTATCTTTTATCCTTACGTTAACACATTAGTTTGGTGGTAGTCACTTCACAAACATGTAGTTTAATTCAAAGACTCGGACGTTTCCTAAACCAGCTGCTCACTGAAGTTTGTATCACAGTCAGGAGGAGTCGGTACATTTGTTGGGGACTATTTTCAGTGGCGGATGAATCCACATTTGCTCTGTAGTGAGTGTCTGAGGGAGTGAGTCAGATCATCTACAGTGTGTGTGTGTTCTTCAGCCTTCTATGAGACTAAATACATGGACTCATGTCATGATTTATGTACATGCTCACACCATGTTCTATATAGCTGCACCATTTGGTCAAAGCAGTGCTGTGGTCTAACTCTACAGCTCCCTCTCTGTCTCAGACACGGAGGTGCGCCTGGAGTGCAGAGGCCTGTTCCCCTACCTGAACTCTTCCTGGGAGATTTGGTGGACGGTTGATGGGAAGTCTCTGGATAAACTTGCTGATCATCGATTCTCCAAAATCAACAGGTAGCAAGAGAACACATCCACCTTGGGACTGTGGTATCTGAAATGTCGATACAGTCGTTATACATTGGTTTTATAGCAGCATATGGACAAAAAGATTCAGTGCTTTTGATATTCATTTAACTAACCGCTGCAATTTGTGATGACTTTTTTCGTTTTAACCTGTGGTTGGGCTGATGCACAGCTGGAGGCCTACAGCTCCTCTAATCTCTGTGTATGTTTAAGCAGGATGTGGGTGTGTAAGGCGCCTTCTAGACAAAACAAACACTAATACACAAAAGGCTTTCATACTTGAAGCTTGGACACAGCTCCGACTTGGCCAGGAAGTGTGTTTATGACTGCCAACACCTGGAACACTAAGAGAAAGCAGGCAACAGGCTGAGGTCAGATTATCAACAAGCATCAGAAGCCCAGCCCGAGACATTTCTGAGAGTCTGGACAGAAGACAGAACGAGTCAAGATACCTACCGCCTTTAGATAAAAGAAAAAGTGACTCCTGGTTCTAGAAAATTCATATGACACCAGTTGGTTTCTGTTCAAGAGCTGATTTGTTTTCAGTTGGTTTAAAAAAAAAAAAAAAGGCTCTAAGAATGTAAATATGAAGTGTGTGTGTGTGTGTGTGTGTGTGTGTGTGTTCGCAGACAGGTGAAGTACGAGTATGGGGAACGGACAGAGGAGAGCGTGCTGGTGATCCAGGACTTCCAGCCTGAAGACCTGAACAGAGATTACAACTGCTCTGTGAGGAACGAGAGAGGCTTTGAAACCCGCAGAGCTCAGCTGAAGGAGGAGGGTGAGGACAAGTACACGTCACCATTTTGGGCCTCTCTCTTCTGGCGGTTCAAACGAATATAGTTAATATGTAATAGATTACAGTAGGAGTGTATAGATTACATACATGTGTAGTAGTTAATAGTTGGAGATCACAGTATGAGTTAGATGCTTGTGTGACTCCTGCCAGCTCTGTCCTTGGCTCTGTAAATTGTTTAGAAGTGTTCGTGTGCTGAAGCAGGAACGCCATGGAGAGTTGATGCCCTGTTTTGGATACGTACTAGGTCACTGTGACCTGGAGGTAACTTACTGAATAAGCATTTTCTAGAAAAGGGGATGTTGGTACTGATGAAAACTGAGAATATGACATCAACAGGGTTAAAACAGGAAATTACTGTGAGTGATAAAAGGTTGTGTTAGGCTGTATGAAGGGGGGAGCAGAGGCACAGACAGGAGAGAACAGTTTCTTCTCTGGCTGCTTCATGCACGACTACTTCTCTGCAGAGAAAAGGTGATTCTGTAACCAGGCTGATTAATATCATTGTAATAATAAATGCTCATTGGAATTGTAGCGATTTGTCTGTGATTTAATTTGTGCCACCACAGCCTTGTTCCACTACACTCTCTACTGGAGGCCAAACATTGAGACGCTCAGTTTTTAGAGCTTAGACGTCGACACATTTAAAGTTTATCCCAAAACCAGAGTTCGTGATGGTGGAACTGCTGGAAGGCTTTTAGTAACAAAGTAATGAAAGGACAGACGGCGGTGACGTGTATGGTCAGAGCACTGCTCAGAAAAAGTACTCTTAGTTACAGTATTACTTTCAGTGGCAGGAACTAGTTACTTCTTAAGTTACTTTCACAAAGGTTCCCCGTGAACTGAGACTTGCTCATGCTCCCACTGTTCATGCCATGTTGAACCACTGCTCCCAGTTCAGCTGATGTGTGTGGGAGCTGATTAGATTAGATTAATTAGTTAATTTTGTCTTTGCTCAGATTGGAACTCTACGTATGTTGGACACTGTGCAGGAGCTTTACTCTCACTGTTGCACAGTCGGAGCTTGGGTAGGTCTCCGTTTACTGTCCTGAAGAGAAAGTGAGAGCAGCAGAGCTTGAAACACAAACACAACTGCTCTGTGCACGGGCAGTAAAGGGACCACACTCAGGTGAGAGGGTGGATGTGCTGCTGTAGCCGGGCTGAGCAGACACAGCCCCGACAAAACGTCAGCGTTGTTTCTGAATGCAACATGTTACTTCATAAATGACTTCAGTAATGCTGTTAAATTCCATGAAGCCACCTGTTACTTAATGTACTTAGTTTACTCCTAAACTGTGTGTGCAAGTGAGAATATTCAGTAGTACACAGCAGTACACAGTGTACATGGGCTGATGCATTCGACTCCCCCCTCCAATCTCAGTCTGTGCCTTAGGATCTCCCTGGACAGGTGTGTGAGTTCTTACTGGTGGACAGGTGTTAAATGTCAGCTGCGTTTTGTCGTGCCAGTGTTGCTGCCGTTGGTGGAGCTGGGCTGTGGTCTCGGGGTGACTCTGGTCCTCATGCTGCTGCTCTTCGTGGTTTATCACGTCTTCTGGCTAGAGCTGCTGCTGCTCTATCGCTCCAGGTTCGGCACCGACGAGCGGCACACAGGTAATCAGCAGGTGACACTTCTCACGACCTAAATTCTCAGAGAAAAGCTGGTGTTTGGTTCCTGACAGTGGACAGAACGGCTGTGTTTCAGAGCTCTCTCATTTTACTTTATTAAATAGGATGCTCTTTTTCTGTCAGGATACTTAAACCACAGCTGCCAGTGTCAACAGGTTATAAAACACCTTTGTCCATAACTGAAACACACCAAGCCATAAAACCACAGCATTGTTTTTGCCAGGCACCTGAAATATCTGCCACCTCACCTCCACCACTCCAGCGGCTCCGTCCTCATACCAAATGTCACCAGTTTAACAGCATTTAGACGATTAAAGCTGCACAGGAGACAGTGAAACGTCTGCAGTCGTTGCCAGGTTTCTTCTGAACGGCACCAGAGACGCCTCGGTGCAGAAACGCGACCGCATTGCTGCACTACTCACCAGCAGCTCATGCAAATCACTCAGAAACATGTCACTGTTGTCCTTTGTTTTGTCAGCGTTAACGGCCTGTGTGTCACTACTGGTACTGTTGGTACTTCAAGTATATTTGGATGCTGCTACTTTTATACTTAACATTTTGAATGCAGGACCTTTAACAGAAAATTTCATCTTTTACTTAAGTAAAGGATCTGACTACTTCTTCCAGCAGTGTGGTAACTTGCATGATGCTGAAATCACTGTGAACTGAAGTACTACCATTATCTCAAGTTGAACACAAACCGTTCCCCTGGACCTTTATCTCCATCATGACACAAACATGTCGATGGCATTTACATCACAGATGTTCTGACTTGGTTTCCTGTGCAGATAAGGACGAAAACATGAAGTTTCCTCTGTGTAATCGATTGCTGTGTGTGTGTGTGTGTGTGTTCAGATGATAAGGAGTACGACGTGTACATCTCCTACGCCAGGAACAGCGAGGAGGAGCAGTTTGTTCTGTCGACGCTGCATAGAGTTCTGGAGAACGAGCTCGGATACTCGGTGTGCATCTTTGACCGAGACAGTCTGCCGGGAGGGAGTGAGTACTTACGTGTACTACAGTGCACACACTACTACTGTGGTACAGTATGTACTGATACACATTTGACAACGCACACCTACAGCAGTATACACTCACACAGTGATACTGCATCAGATGCTCTGATACTACAGTATAGTATACTCACTTACTACAGGACAGTACATTGTTATACTGCAGGACACACACTGGTACTGCACAACACAGCCCAGCTCTGATACTACCGTACACAAACACAACAACACTTCAGTATAGTTAGCTACAGTACACAGTGTAATGCAGTACAGTGCACAGCCTGATAACATGGTGCAGTACACTACAGCACTGATACTACACTTACTACTACTTTGCATTAATACTATTACTGTTTCTCTTCATACACCTCTTACTACTTAAGCTACTAGTACTACTGCTAGTATTCCCGCTAATTGTACTACTACTACTGTTGTTACTGCTAATCCTCCTCCTATTGCTTCTTCTAATACTGCTACTACCATTTTAAAGCTACTTGTATCTATGGTATTGATACGCCCTCTAATGCTAATACTACTGGCTGTAGTTGTAGTAACGCTGCTCCTACTTCTACTGCTGCCAAGTTGGAGGTGAACAAAAGAGACACGTACAGAAACACACTCCATCCACTCATCATCCATTAAACACACTCCATCCACTCATCATCCATTCATTCACCCATCATCCCTTCATTAACCCTCCTCTCTCCCTGCAGCCATCACTGATGAGACTCTCAGTTTCGTGGCTCGTAGCCGGCGCCTCTTGGTGGTCCTTAGTTCGGGCTACGCTGCTCAGGGCTCCCAGGCTCTGCTGGAGCTGAAGGCTGGCATTGACGGCATGGCGCTGGGCGGCCACCTGCGGGTGATCCTGGTCCAGTACAAGCCAGTCGGGAGGGAGGGCTGGGTCAGGGAGCTGAAGAGGGCCCGGGTGGCCCTGGCTCTGGTCCGGTGGCAGGGGGACAAGTCCAGGGAGCTGTCGTCCCACTTCTGGAAGAGGCTGAGGGTGGAGTTACCTGTGAGGAGGGTTAGCAGTAGGGAGGAGGAGGACGAAGGGCGCAGTCAGGAGGTGGCTCTAATGAGGCTGCACAGTCAGAACAGCGCAAACTCCCAGACTGGCCTCATCAGCAACACGGTCAAAGAGCCACAGAAGGTCCTGAACTCTGCAGCGTAGCCAGGATGGAGCTCTGCAGTCTGGGAACATTTCAGCCAGAGCAGTGTCTCAGCCCAGGTCGGCTGTCTCGACAGAACTCTGCAGACATGTCTCAGGAGTTTCACAGCTTGTAGCAGAGATGATTCAGACTCTGCTCCCTCTCTTTACAGTTGTATCTGCACATTAGTTGATGTTTCTAACTAGAACTGGGTGAAACTACTACTAACACAGCGCCCGACACTCGGCTGCAGTACCAAACATTACTTTTGTCAGTGCCTTGTCAATTTTTAGCGTTTCTCTGTGGAATCTTTCTGGTCACAACAAGACAAAATGCCTAAGACATACTGACGGCTCTGTGAAGCTACTTACTAACACAGAGTCACGTCGGCATGTTAACATGGCATTGGTTCCACAGGTATTTGCTACCTCAAAGGTCTGAGGATGAAGGTGTTCATCAAGTAGTTCATCCTCTGGGGGGCCTGAATGTATGGACCAGATTTCATAAAACAACATTCAGTAGTTGTCAGCATATTTCATTTAAAGCAGATATTTCAACCCGATGCAGAGTGTGTCATGCCAATCAGTAGCTCGTTATCACTTGGGACCATAGGGCTCAGTAGGGTCCTACTCACCCACTAGTCGACTCAGTAGGTTGTCATCATGCTACACATCTTCAGTGTCATGCTTACAGTCATCCACAGCGACTGTTCATACACAACAACTACAGTAAACTACAGGCTAAAAACTGCCTTGTTAAAGAAAAGGGTGTGATTTGAGTTGAACTACTTCCTTAATGTGACAGGGCCTTCGTTGTCATCGTCACAATAATGAACACATGGACAACCAGTCTTGGATAAAAATTTGTTTCACACTGGACTCGAACACTGGTCTCCTGTGACCGAGCCATCCCCACCTCCTAATATGAGCCTCACCTCACTTCCTCATTCGCTTGTCTTTCTTATTATGGCCACTAGATATTGATGACACCTGCCTGCTGAGCCCTGTGGTAGGTTGAGTAGGGCCCTGCTGACTCACAACTATAGCCTCAACAAGAGCTGATAAAAGGCCTTGGAATGACCTGACAGCGCCTGATTAGGTGCGTGGTGCCAATCCATCAGGTAGACACTGAGACACTTCAGTCTGGATCAACAGACAAATCTAATGTGGCGATCTAATGGAAAGCAGGAATATGATCAGGACATTTCCTGACCATCCAGTTCATGGCTTCACAGTTTCACTGTCCTGTCAGGATCAGAGCCATTACCATGTACCACTTGTCATTAGCACACTATTCATTCATTATCACTTTGCATTTTGTGTTGCTTATGTGTCCGGGTTAAGAACTTTGTTTTTCTGAAGTAGTAAAATGTTAGAGGAAACACAGACTCCCTGAGGAGGGAAGCACGCTCTGGGTCAACTGTTAAATATTAGGCTAGAAAACCGATTCATTACTTTAAAATGTTGCAATGACTCTGCACTTTTTGTAAATTGAAATGTTTAGACTTTCAATAAATCGAATGTATAACTTTTCTTTTCATCTGTAACACTGCAGAAACACTTTGTCAGCTGTTTAAAATGTTTCATCTTTTTTAATAATTATTTCATCTAAGTGTTCGTCTCTGGGTTTTTCATTCCACATCTTCATTTGCACACATACTCACACACAGTTAGAATCACAACGTGCACGTGGTTACAAATATCATTCCGATAATTATTCTTATCCTCCAGAAGCTTAACATAGAGTCACAGATTCATATTGACTTTTAAAATAAATGTGCAAAGCAGCGGTGTGATAACGTTGACATGAACCTGCTACCGTTTAACAGAAATGCTTAACTCAAGGGCCACTTACTGGTTCTTTGCTGAGCTTTCTATCACATTCTGCTGTCTGCAAAACAGAGTTCACACAATGTCCATGGATTGTCTCCAGCATGTTGTTAGAACATTGGCCGTCTGGAAGGTAAGACATCTAGCAACGCTAAGAGTTAAAGCCATGCTACATTTAGCATCCTAACAACCACATATCAGCAATTTATGACCTGGTAGTGACACTGCATGAAAAGTCTGGGGATCACTTGCCCTGTTTAGGACTAAAGACACACCCAGGTGTTTCCTGTTGTGCCAAGAGCTTTAGCTGTGAGGCTGGGAAGTTAACGGACCTACAGGACATGTACCAAACCAGCTCGTTACTGTAGTTGTTTCACTTTGTAAATCTAAACTGTACCACTTAAAAACACTCCCAAGTGTCTTTTTCTTATGCTGAATAAGCAACCAGGACAAACTATAGCCCACTACCTTGTAGACACACTAGGTCGGTAAACTAGAAGGTTAGAAGCTCATGGAAATGAAAGTAACATGTATATGGGTTTTATTAATTGGCTCTAGACACCAGCTGGTCCTTTAAGCTGTGTTTTATCTGATGTTAAACTGTTTGTATCTTAGCAGTTGTTTCTGACTCTTCCTGTCTGTCCTGTCTCAGACCTATCAGAGGCCATCCTGCAGTCGATGCAGCGGAGCCGCCGCCTCCTGTTCCTCCTCAGCCCTGACTTCCTGGCACAAAAAAGCTTCAGCCTCCTGGAGTGTCGTCTGGGTCTGTACCTCCAACATGGCTGTCAGGCCTCCATCATCACAGTTGTTTATCACTCAGTCAGTAAGCTGCCCTGTGTGGAGGTGGCTCAGCTTCAGCAGGCCGCTCTCAGCACCGTGACGTGGCGAGGGAGTCAGTCTGAACCGCAGCAGTCTCGATTCTGGCTGCGGTTGAGGCTGGCACTGCCTGTCCGGCCACTTGCTTTAGGCAGGAGGCTGATTGACAGCACATCGTCTTACTCAGACCTGGCAGCACTGGCCATGCAGAGAGCGCAGTGGGTTCAGAACCAGAACCAGAAAAGAAGAACCAGTCAGAGCCGCAGGAACAGGCAGGCTTCAGACAATCAGGGCTACAGAGACCATCAGGCTAGAGGGAGAGACAGGTTGAGGAGGGGGGTTACATTCACGGAGGAGGGGTCACAGCACAGCTGCTCACGATGCATGAGGTTTGTTGGCCAGGGAAAGGACAGGGGGGTGGGGCTTGCAATGGAAGTGTCACATGACAGGACTGGGATTCAGTCAGAGTCTGTCCCAGAAACAGACCACATCACAATTTCACACTTTTCCACTCACACACACTCAACTCCTAACCCCGCCCCTCTACCTGGCCTGGCCTCAGACCCAGCTCATAACTCCACCCTCCCCACCTGTGAGCAGGGCAACACAGGGAATCGCAACCAGCAGCAGCAAGTGATTGGTTCCCAGACCTCTAAGGAAAAATGATGTCAGCACAAAAGGGGAGGGGTTCCAATCAGCCAGCAAGTGAGAGAGGCCAAACATGACTCCTCTCCTGACACTAACCCCACCCCTTATGGCGCAGTCAAACCGAAATGAATTCACTCCTTTGGTGTGGCTCCAATCAGAATGGACAAGAAACAACGCCTGGCATAACAAACTTCATCCCTCATCCTCTCTCAAACCAGCTGAGACCGTCAAACTGAACAATGGACTGTTTGGTTTCACGGCACCTTTAGTCACTCAAACCCCATCTGAGCCAAGTTGCATGAAAAAACATGAATGTTAAAAGTATTTCACTGAAGATTTTCATCAAATCCAGATTCCTGTTTGATTCAATTAATGGTTGGCATGTTGTCAAAAATAGCCCTTCTTTATATTTACGTGCGTTGTATTACCTCTTTCTGTACAGCAGCTTTAATTGTTAGTGGCAAACTGCCAGTGGGTTGGATCTGCCTTCACACACGAGAGATCGTCAGGAAATAGTACATCATGTACTGTAGTTTGGTCTGACTGATGTCAGCCTCACTCTTCACTCTCCTACTGCTGGACAAAGCTACTGCGGATGCTACCACAACAAACGTTTGTTGTGAAACTGTCAGAAGAAGAGAATTTGTCACTGTTCATCAGAAATGTGTCTCTAAAACCAAACCTGGACGTTTGTCAGGGAGCAGTGGGAGGAGAGCCACAGTGAGCTGTTGGACGGCGGCTGCACTGCAACCCCCAGGCTGCACTGTTATTACAGCCACAAGATGAAAGAACAACCATCCTGATGATTCATCATTGCTGCAAGAAGTGAATATGTCTCATGAGGAATTAATATTATGGGCAGGGAACTGTGAACTCATCTGAATAAGAAAAAAGAATCCAGGGACAGTCAAGGAAGTCAAGACTCATTTATAAATATAAATAT